TCATATTGCAATTACGAACGGTCGAACTCGTAATATAGACGTTGAAGTAACGCGAAATCTACGTCGGTTTTATTTGATAGTTTTAAACAAATTTTTCAACGTTGATACAACGTTGATTTTTGGTTATACGACGTCGCGACTAAAAATCAACTGTAAATCAACGTCGAAATAACGTCGTGTGCTGTCAGCAAACATGATGTTTTTTAAGTTTGATACTTTATTTATATCATTTGCATAAATTAAAAAAAGAAGCCCAAGAATCGAGCCTTGAGGAACACCTCAAGTTATTTGAGTCATGTCTGTTATTGACGTGGACATTTTGTTTTTTATTTGTTAAATAGCTTTTATACCAGTTTAAAAGAATGTTATTTATCCCATAATATTTGAGCTTTTGCAGTAAAATTACATGATCAACGGTATCAAATGCTTTTGATAAATCAATAAATACACCTAATGTGTATTGCTTTCTATCAAAAGACTCAGAGATTTACCGGACAAATTGAATAATTGCGTGTTCCGTTGAAATGCATTTTTTAAAACCAAATTGATTATTATTTAACAGTTTATTATCATTTAGATATTTATTTGTTCTATTATAAATTATTTTTTCTATGGTTTTTGAAAAAGCTGAGAGAATAGAAATGGGGTGGTAGTTGCACACATCACTTTTGCAATTTTCAATTTGTCCGGAAAGATCCCATGTTTTAAAGATGCTTTAAAAATTTTGAAAAGTATATCTTTTAGGTTTTTGTAACAATCTATAATTATGTTACTATTTATTTCGTCGAAGCCAGTAGCTTTATTTCTTTTCAGAGATGTCAAACTCCTCGGGAGTTAGTTCAATCAATAATTCATTGTTAGTATTTAGTTCGTGCATAGTGGATAAAAAGTCTATAAATGAGTTATCAGTAGTTGGAATTTTGTTTGAAAGTTTTTTTCCGATTTCTCTGAAGAAATTATTAAATTATATTGCAATTTCACGAGGTTCGGAAATAATTTTGTTTTCAAAATTAATATTGTTTGGCAGAGAGTTTGAACATATATTTGATTTTCCAGTTAATTCTTTTATTATATTCCAAATGCGCTTTCAGTCGTTTAAAAATTTTTTGATAAGATTTGAATAATAGATTTTTTTTCAAATTTTTTCGAATCTTCTCAATGATATTTTTATAATTCTTATATATTTTTTCACTTGCAGGAGATTTTGTTTTTAGATATTTTATATATAATTTTGGTTTTGTTCCGGAGGATTTCTTTAGTCATTTTGTAATCCAGGGACTATTTAATGTTTTAGTATTTATTCTTTTTTCGCAAACTAGAAAGTTTGCTTCATACTCTGAGTAGAAAATTTCAAAGAATTTATTATAAATGTTGTTTGCGCTATCGTTAAAGTCAATATGCTCCCAATGTAGTGAGATAATTAAGACTTGAACAATTCGAGATTTTTTTTGGTAAAATAACGTTTTCTAGTAATTTTATTTGTTGTTGAAGTATGCATTGATCTGGCATTAAATGTTAAGAAAATAGAAAAATGATCTGATAAATCAGATTTTGCAATACCTGTTTAAATGCTGTAATTGAAAGTGTCTGTGTTAACAATATTATCAATAAGAGTTGATGAGCTTCGTGTTATCCTAATTGGACAATTTATCAGTGGAATTGCTCCCGTTGTAAATATTTTATCATAAAATTTTTTTATTTTATTGTCATTATTGTATAATAAACAATTCATATTTAAATCTCCTATTATATAATTTTTTTTCTTTTCATAGATTCTTTTGTTAATTATTTTTGTTGTAAATACAAGCTAAAATTTTCAGACGCACCATCAGGTGGCCTGTAATAACAGCTAGAGAATATTGTTTTTTTTTCGTTTTGTTAAAAATTTCAATGGTCACGATTTCTTTATCACCGTCAAAAAAGCTCAAATCATTCCTAATACAATGTGCAATGGTATCTGTGTAATGGTTTATATAAATCAGAACTCTTCCACCAAGTTTATTTATGTGTCACTTTAAAATCAACTTTCTTATAAAAAATATTTGTTCTAATGTCCAAAACTGCTTTTGAAATGCATGGTTTCAGTTTTACCAACCTTTCAATCATAGAAACCAAAGAGTTCCACAGAGTTTTAATGTCAAGTTTTAGCATCAGTTTTTTATATTCTTGTTCCAAAACATGCTTTTGTAATATGGAGCTAAGAACGCTTACTGATTAAATTTAAAAAATTTAATCAGTTTACGTGAATTACTCAATACAGTCAGAAGTAATATTAAAAAGAAGTTCATCGGTATTTGTTTTTTTTCTTCATTTGATTTGTCACTCAAACATGTTTGGTCATCGCTGGTATGTAAATTTTTGTAGAAAACATTGGTTACGGCCAGATGAATACCGTAGTTGTGGCACTTTTAACTCTTTACAGGAATTATCAGTCCATATTTTTGCATTACTGCAGCACCATCGTGAGAAGACGCAATTATGTACGTAAAATCTAACTCAAATTCTGTCAATTTTTGTTTCACTAATTCTTCGGTTGTTAAAGCATCACAGGAATCATCAATTTTAACAAGACCCAATTTATAAACAACCTTATTGTGAAGAGTTACATTTGTATACCTTTTAATGGAGATGTCAGTCCACTCATCAACTGTTTTGCTGAAATTTTGGCCACAATTTTTTAAAGCAAAAATTTCATCACAAGTTATTGCTTTTTTATCTCGTTATACGACACTATTAGTTTTGCGACTGTGGTTTAACTTTTTACAATTTAAAAACTACGTTTCTAAATAAACTCAGGTATTGCATTGAATTTCGTGATTTTCCTTAAAGACATTTCGCTAACTATTCAGCAAAGATGTCACGTTTAAATAATCCGTAACATTTTATTTGTTTTTTCGGAACTTCTGCAACAGATGTTTCATCTAACTTCTTATTTTTTAATGTTATCCTATGGATAGTTTTCATGTGGGTAATCAGACCAAATGTGCTTGAATCTTTTCATTTTATAAAAGAATTGTACAGGGTACATTTTGCTTCACAAGCTGAATTTTATGATTTTATGAAATGATGGTTTTGGCACGTTTTTTTTTTGTACTGTCTTTTAATGGTTATTTATGTAAAGTAAAGTATATAACGAAAATAAAATTAAATTACTTACTTGTCAAGACTACAAAACTCGATGTAAAGTCATGAAACTAAGTAGTCCTGAAGACAGACGCGTCTGTCTTCAGGACTACTTAGTTTCATTAGTATCACAGATAAGATCACCTTTTTTCCATCTAGACGGAAAAAAGGTGATCTTATTTCACAATATAAGCTTCTCAACAACTTAAACCTAACTGATTGGCACATAAAGCCTTGCAGCTTAGCACCCAAAGCTCAACATGATGATGTTTAACAAGGCTGTGGCTTTGTGCAACTTAATTAACTAACTAACGATATTATTTAATAATATAAGTAGATATGCTAAATATTATAATAAATGTGTAATTTTTATAATGCTAAACAATTTATTGTTTATATAAACTAAAGCTATTATATACCTTCATTCATTAACTTTTTCATGCAAAAATAATATCGAAGAGAATTGAATTGTTCAATCGTTAATACTTTTCCAAAAATAATTATAAAAATTGTTCAAGGGGAATCGTAGTTTGCAATAATTACAAAACCACTTGTATAGCAGCATGGTATGCTATGCGTAGGTATGACAAATAAAATACGTGCCCTCTAGTTCAATGCTCAATTGCAATACATGCCCTACAGCATGGAAAGCGTACAGCAGCCGTGGCGCAGTGGAAGAGCATTTGCCTTATAAACAAAAGATCCGTGGTTCAAACCAGAGTTGTTAGTCCTTGGCCCTGGCCTGGCTTTGTGGTCTTGGTCTTGGTCTTGGTCTTGAAACTGTTGGCCTTGGTTGGTCTTAACCTTGAAAATTTTGGCTATGGCCTTGATTACTTTGTCCTTGGCCTTGATTGTTTTGGCCTTGGGCTTAAAAAAAGTTCATACATTTTTATTGATTTCGTTGAATTCTGCGCATAACCTTGATCTATTTTTACAAAATCTGGTTTAATTGTCACGGCACTTGCTAGTTACAGTTTTGTTAATAATTGTCCTTAACGTAAGGCAAAATTTTAAGTGTTTGGTCTTGTAAATGTTTGCGTAGGTCTTGGCCTTGAAAACTTTAATCTTGGTCTTGACCTTAAAACTCTTGGCCCTTGGCCTTGTAACTTTTGACCCTGGTCTTGGCCTTAGTCTTGTACCGTGTGGCTTTAGACTTGGCCTTGCTACTTTTGGCCTAGTTAACAAATCTGGTTCAAACTCCACCTCTGGGCAAGTTTTGCAACATCGTTTAGGAAAGAGGCGTGAACTTTCAATTAAATGCTCTTCCGCAGTGCTCTGTAAGGATTTCAAAAAGTAACTAATTAATAAAAAAAATTTAAAATTTAAAATTTACTTGAGGTTTGCAAACAGCTTAACAAAATAACTTCTATTTTCGTCATTCATTTACAAAATTCAAACACAAAAAGTACATAAGTGCAAATTGCTTCATTAAGTTATTAAAATCGTAAAAAACCGGCATTGGGAAAATGTTTCGATATTGGAAAAATTTAATTGAATACCAGTTTTTAATACCGGTATTGAAAACCGTGAAAACTCTAGGTGGAACTAATAACATTAAAATCTAAACAAGTAAATAAATCTTGTGGATTTACTTTAAAAGATATCACATAAGCTTATAGTTTCCAAATATTTCTATAATATATATATGCTTATAGTGGGAATGCGTAACCAGACTTGCGTTAAAATACTTGTGAGATGTACATGATTTTAATTTATAAAAGTATTAGTAACATTTATCTTTTTTTGGATAATTTAACTAGTAATTTTTTAGTACTAATTTGATTAACCCAAAAACACAAATTGATAAAAATGGTTCATACATTTTATATACTGTATGTTCGATAAATTTATTTAGAATTGTATTTTTGCTCTTTTAGATATTCAATCTTGAATACAAATCATTGTTTAGTCTTATTAGCAAAGAGGAGAGATCAGTTCGTGAAAAAGCTTATTTTACCTTTCTTATAACTCGACACCCTTTTGAAAGGTTGATTTTTATCTACAAAAATGAATTTGAAAACCAGCATTCTCCTCGATTTCGAAAAACGTTTGGGTCGTATATATTAAGAAAATATAGAAAAGATCTTAGTAACGAACAATATGATGCAGGTGCTGGCGTAACGTTTTTAGAGTTTGTCAAGTTTGTTTTAAGCAAAAAGTTCATTGATGAAAGTTGGCAAAAAATTACAGATTTATGTTTGCCTTGCAACTATAAATATGATTATGTAGCCAAAGTAGAAACCTTAAAAAATGATTTAAAAATGATCTCTGATAGCACTGGATTGCTAAACTTCTTGAACCAGACGGACCAGACGGACCAGAGTGATAAAATGTCTTTAGTAGAATACTATTTCAAAACTTTACCTAAAACAAAGATTTATGAACTATATATGTTATACCTTGATGATTTTTTAGCATTTGGCTATCCCTCTCCTTATTATAGCAAAAAAGTTTAATGTGACCGATTCAATGAATATAAAAAAAATTTTAACGGTTTTTATATTTTAGACCCTAAATATGTATAGCCTATATGCAAACCTAAAGAATATGCAGACCTTAGTAAAGCGATTGTTGAGTTTATATAAACGGGCGCAAGTTTTTAGTGAAGTTTGTTTTTTAGTGATATTTTTTATAAATAATTATAATGTATACAATTATAATGTCTATACCAGAAGATAATTTATTCGGATCCATGGATAAAAAAAAATGTGTTTGTTATTTATTTTTATTTTTTTTTCAAATTTTTAAATCTAATTTTTGTTATTCTGATTATTGGTAATCTTTCAAAAATCTTTTAATATAATATAAAAATGTTGGTTTCTAACTAAAAATGTTGGGTCCTAGCTAAAAAATGTTGAGTTCTAGCTAAAATATATTGAATTCTAGCTAAAAAATGTTGAGTTCTAGCTAAAAAATGTTGAGTTCTAGCTAAAAAGTATTGAGTTCTAGCTAAAAAATGTTGAGTTCTAGCTAGTCTTGTCCTCTGCAAACTGGTAAATCTGCTTTAGATATAATAAATACTCTAATAGTTTTTTAAATAGAAAATATTATATTAATATAAATAGAAAATATACATGTAAATTAAAAAGATAAAAAATTTTGAAATAATTTTTTTCTTTTTTTACATGAAGTTGCTTTGAATGTATTTTGTTATCACTTTGTTTAAAAAATGAGATTTTTTAAACAAAGTGATATTTTATACGTTTTTAAAAAAACTTTTTTAAAAACGTATAAAATATAATATTTAAATTAATGATAATACAGCTTTAGAAATCGGTTGATAATAAAACTACTAAGGTGGTAAAGTAATTAGAAAATAAAAATAGTGCTAAATTTAAAAATAGTACAAAAACATTTTCTTACTTATTAATCATTAAACGTCCGATTATGGGATAAAGGGCGACAATGATTTTTAAGCAACCATTTTTAAATTTTGATTTAAATTTTGGCTAGTAATGTATTGCATGTGTCATTGCGTAGTGGGCTAAAAGATTTAAGTTAGGTCCAAAATTTGATCATATATTTGCATTTTTGGCATTTTGGGCAATATTTGAGGTAATTAAAAACACAATATTTTTAAAAGAAAAAAACCAAACAAAACAAGCAGTAAAGATTATTCTAGTACATGGTGTATATACAAATACAATGAAAAGATAGTTTTAAAAAAAATTGCAAGTAAAAAAAAAGATGAAAAATTAAAATAAAGTTCAAAACTCTTCATTTATTTAAATTATACAGACTAATGTTTTATTTTGAACAAAAAACTCATATATATGCATGTATATATACATACATACATGCATACATACATACATACATACATACATACATACATACATACATACATACATACATACATACATACATACATACATACATACATACATACATACATACATACATACATACATATATACATACATACATACATACATACATACATACATACATACATACATACATTCATTCATACATACATACATACATACATACATACATACATACATACATACATACATACATACATACATACATACATACATACATACATACATACATACATACATACATACATACATACATACATACATACATACATACATACATACATACATACATACATACATACATACATACATACATACATACATACATACATTCATTCATACATACATACATACATACATACATACATACATACATACATACATACATACATACATACATACATACATACATACATACATACATACATACATACATACATACATACATACATACATACATACATACATACATACATACATACATACATACATACATACATACATACATACATACATACATACATACATACATACATACATACATACATATATACAAAATATTTACTGTATAAGGCATCCTATACTTTTTAACTGTTTGAAAGTTATTTGAAACATTAAAAACGAGACTATTGTCAGAGGCAGGTAACATTTTTAATAAAAAAAGATCTTGTTTGTTTTAATTTCATTTAAAAACTTTATTTCAAGTTGATTTTTACAAGATAGTTTTAGTTAATACTAAAATTAATTTAAATCAACACATCTAACTTTGTAGACAGTACACACATACACATAAAAATGTCATTAATAAAATTACAATTGTTTCATAAAAAAAAAGAAAGAAAAAAAAAACGTCATAAAAATTTACAATTGTTTCAATTTAAAAAAAGATATTTATAATAATACAATCTTAGCTAAAGATATAAGTCAGTATAAAAAAAAAAAAATTTTTAAAAACGACGAACTTTGTAAACGCAATTATTACTATACCAATTTTTGATATGTTTTTTGTACACCTCAAGACTTTTTGCGTACTCATTATTTAGAGTGTTCCAGAGCGAGGTGGCTCTATTTAACGTACAGCATGAATCATTATATATTAAGCCTTTAGGAGGTATAATGAGTTTTATGCTACAACGTAGTTTATTTGTAAAATTTTTATAGTAAAAAGATTTTTAATAAATATTGGATTTAGACAATTAATAGATTCAAAAGTTTCCATCATAAGAAATCTCAAATTTCTTAGATGGATTCTTGGACTATTATCAAAATTTAATAATTCATCCAGGGACAAATCAAATATAGACAAATCTTTTATAGACTATACTTAGAGCTTTTTTATAAATTATATTTATTTGTTTGTCATATTTTTTGGAACAAATCATCCAAATTAGAGAAAAATAAGAATAGTTAGACAAAATAAAATCATTAAACAGCAAAATAGATTTTTTTTTTTTTTTTTTTAAATATCTTTGCTTCCAACAAGGCTGTAAGCAACCACTAATTAGTGTTGAAAGTTACTGGAAGAGAAAAGATGAAGATTGTAGAGCAAGATAACGATTGACAGACGTATTAAAAGATTATAAATTATATAAATCAGGAAAGCAAGATGAAGGAAGCGAATTCCAAAGAACTGATGTTCGAGGAAAAAAACTAGACAAATAAGAGTTTTTGGAGCACTGAGGAACAGTAACTGAAAAAGGATGAGACTCAATTGAATGACGAGTAACACAAGAATGAATTTTAGTAGATGGCACAAGAGACGCTAGCTCTTTAGAGCAGTGCCCATTATAGTATTTGTAGAAAAGAGAATGAGAAGCAACATTACGACGATGTGACAGAGGTTGAAGGTTGGCTGCAAGAGCAGGTCCAACTATGTTTAAAATGCGTTTTTGCACCTTGTCTAAAAGAGAAAGAGCATTATTAGAAGATCCGCCCCAGATATGGCAACAGTATTCCATACATGGCCGGATTTGAGACTTATAGAGATAGAGAATAGAATCCAGAGTAAGAAAGTGTCAAGATAAAGAGATGCAACTTAAGCAGATACTAATTTTGCAACGGATTTGATATATGGTTTCCAAGAAAGATCAGAAGTAATAGTTAATCTTAGAAGATGAAGGGTAGGAGACTCATCGAGTACATTACCGTTTATAAATATAAGAAAGTCTAAAATATTGCGATAACAATTGGCTGAAAAAAATTGAGTTTTATCTGAATTAAAGTTCACCAGCCATTGTGAGCCCCATGCTGTAGCAGAAGTGAGATCTTTTTCAAGCTCAAAAGCCCTCTGCAAGCAATCAGAGGGAGTTGGCTTCTTATCTTGCCAAGAATAAATGGTAGTATCATCAGCTAACAATCCCACTTTTGATGTGAGAATATCTGGAAGATCGTTAATGTAAATTAAAAAGAGTATAGGGCTAAGGATTGTCCCTAGAGGAACATCTGAGGTTACAGAATAAGAAGAAGAGTGCTGTTCATCAAAGACAACTTTTATACTACGATTGAAAAGAAAGGATTCAGTAATCTTAAAGATGTTTCCAGATACACCGTGAGAAAAAAGCTTATGGAGAAAACCAGCATGTTAAACTTTATCAAACGCTTTAGAAATGTCAAGAGTGATGGCCTTAACTTCTCCACCTTTATCTAATGCGTGATAAAACCTATCGGTTATTACTGTTAGCATATTAGCCGTAGAACTAGAAGATCGAAATCCATATTGGTGATCAATAAGTAGGTTATTAGATTCAAGATGACAGATTAAGTGTTTGTTAATTGAAGATTCATAAACCTTGCTTATTATAGGAAGAAGACTAATGGGACGGTAGTTAGACGAATCGGATTGCTCTCCAGAATTTTTAAAAATAGGGATTGCTCTCCAGAATTTTTTAAAAAAAGTGCTTATCAGAGTCTTGCTTTCCAGCAGGCTGGAAAACAAGACTCTGATAAGCACTTGTTGAATAGTTTTGACTGCTCCGGAGAACACTTCTGCAAGACTATAGCAGGTATGTTGTCCGGACCGCAAGCTGTAAAAGAGTCTAAGCAGGAAATCACTTTAGATACAGAAGCTTAAGTGATACGGATGTCGAGCAATTGATCAACCTGTTTGACGGCTATATCAGGTAGAACGCAACAAGTGGAATCAAGAGATGATATTGATGAAAAGTTCTTTGCAAACAATTCAGCTTTATCTTTACATGAGGTGACAAAGTCTGAACCATACGAGAGAGGTGGAATTATAGACTTGTCCTTATCATTGATACTATTAAAGATTCTCCAAAAGTCACGAGAACCTAATTTTTGTGATGAAATATGAGATTTCATGATTTGAGAATAGCGGGTTTTGGCGTTAGACAAAACCTTTTTACAATGGTTTCTATCAGTAATAAACAGACGTCTGTTTTCTGGAGAATTGTTTTGCTGACAGATATAGAAATAATGGTTTCGATTGGCAATTACAGCAGCACAATGTGAGAAAAACTATGGAGAAGAGTGAGGCTTGACCTCGAATCGTCGGAAGGAAATAAAGGATTCAATACTAGCCTGAATCCGCAAAATTATGTAAGAAGCACATTTGTCAACAGGAAGATGAAAAATTTCTACCCAGGGGCCAGATTTATCATGGGATAAAAAATTTCTTATGCATGAAAGAGCAAAACATTTACCATTAGCTTTACTGCATAACTGTTTAATGTGTTCCCCAAACTTTAGATCTTTATCAATTGGTTTGCCATGTAGTTATTCCTTATCGGCAAAAACCCTTATATTACCTATTTTTAGCGATAGATTTTTTATGTTTTTTAAGCCAACTAATAGAAATTGGAACTTAACTGGGTTAGCAACCATCGAGTTTAACTGAAATCAATTGATTGTATTTGTTG